TTCAACGAGAGACTGACTTTAATTAACTGAATTGTTCACTCTTGTTCAGGGACCCATAATTATTCCTCAGATGTAGATCACGATGTTAATCGACCCGAATGTTCATCCCGCTGTGCATGCTGTACAGCCTTTCTTAATGAAATATGAATACGGGGTGAGAAAATTCAAATGTGAACTTACAATTCTGTATAAAAGCCATTACTCGAGCGTGGGAATGAACGGAATTTAATACAAACGCGCTGTACACGGTGACGATTTTTAATGGAACAACTAATCTTTATTTTCAACGTGAATTAAATTTATCTCGTTTAATTTTTTAGTAAGCCCTTCTAGGCTCGCGGTAATCTTTCGTCATATTTAATCTCGCACCGAAAAGAATATATCGCTCGGTTCGTTTGCTATTTGCTCACTGAATTTATCATCCATTTAATAACGTCATAGCATAATTGTTTTTTACGTTATTTGCAAAGTCTAGGATTTTGTGCTATATCTCGCCTACGGACGCGTTAGAATTTATAATTAATTACCGTAGCATGTTGCACGTTTCATGAAGGTTTTCTTGTAGAGATACATGAACTTACGTAACACTATCTTTTATTTGCGTATAATCAACGAAGAGCCGTGCTATATGCTGTGCATCTGAAAATGGGGTCAAACGTTTCGCGTGTAATGCGACAACCGACAAAGAACTGCAAAAGACATTTTCTATTTTATTCATATAAGAATTTTATGTAAAGAAATTCATATCTATTTCTATACTGAGAAACAAATTGTACATTTGACTAAATTAATTCAGTTCGTTTTTACTTCTTTCAATGAAGAATATATGTATTTATTTATAAACATATAAATACATCCTTCAACGAAAAAATAAAGACAACTACATAATATATTTATGTAGTTGTCAATTGTTAATCGATTTGATCTTGTTAATCAAATAAATAATTAATTTAGTCAAATGAACAATTTTTTTCAGTTTAACCTTCACGAAAAGAAGGATTTTACTGAAATATTTAAAAATTTAGCTAGATACACAGATTTTAAAATAATTTTGTTGAACCATCAAAATAATTATGTAGGTAACTTAAGTATAATGAGCAATGTTGTAAAAAAATTTGATATTCTAGCAATCAACTTGAAAAAAAAAACGTTCTATAATATTTTAATAATTCAACAAAATTATTTTTAGAGCTGAATCTAACTAAATTTTTAAGTACACGAAGAGAATTTTTTCTTAGAGTTTACTCTCATTAACTAATAAAATTACAATAAAATATTAAATAAGTTTGATTAATTTTATTAAAGCGCATATGGTAAAAATCTCTTTAAAATATTGTATTGTACCACAATTATATCATATTTTCAGATTAATTTTAAGAGAAAATTCTTTCCGTATACTTCAGTAAAACCGTTCTTTCCGCGTATTACGACTTGTACCATTAATTATGATAAAAAAGTGCATGCATAAAACAATGGTATGATCTTCAAAAGCATTTGTGTATTATATGGTTGCAAATTGGTACTTGAACTCATTAACTTTGTATAAGAATTTTTAACAGTGCCGAATAAAGAGATCGTTCTGATGATAAAAATAAATCTTTAAAAAATGTTCGCGCGCTCCAAGGTTTCCCACTTCTGCATTTCCTTTCCAAGGTGAACGATTTAATGTCGATGCCAAGTTCTAATTATTCGCTTATTATTGATAAGTAGTTTTCCAAACGATTTTTTATGTTAAAGTACTTACACGTAATTTCTCGCTTTCAATGCTTTAGTGCATTTCTGAACATGAATTATACTACGAATGCTTGTTTTTTTGTTTATAATTTTTACATATTTGGAGAACTTGAGAAACGAAAAATTATCGAGATTAAGAGAAAAATAGTAGTTAATCCTGCCACTGCAATGTTGCTGCAGAATGAATGCATATGGTTAGATCAAAGGATTTACAACCTTTCCTTCAACGTTAGACTTTTATCTTCGTTTCCTTTTTACACGACGTCTGACCGCACGATGCCCACATCGCAAAAGCACAATGGTAGTTTTTGAAGAGCGTCTTGATCCCATTTACTTTGACCAAATAAAGTAAAACGTGAACAAGCATGAAATGTTTCTTCAGAACTATTTCTAACATTGAAAACGTTTAAAAGTGTCATTTTATATCTTCGTGAATGCTAGATAAATTATGCAAAAAAGGTTAATTATAAAATGTTTGCTGAGGAAAAGTTAATTTGAAATTGTTGAGAAAGTTTGCGGGTGAAAAGAAGTGAATTTGTTCCGGGACATTTTGTATAATTCATTTTGGGCAGATCGAGCTATCGACTTTAAAGTTTAAGAATCGACAAAAGAGGCTGGCAAGGTACGATAAATATGCAGCGCTTCCTTTACGACATCTTCAACCGCGTCGAGGACGACCGATTTGCGCTTGAATTTCGTGGACGAGCGCGTCGCGTGCTTGAGAGGGCTCAGTAAAGAAAAAAGAAAAAAACAGAAGAAAAAGACCAGAAGTAAATGGAAATTGAGAAAATCGACAAGAACCAGGTCGAGGTTCGAAATTCCACGAAAGTCTTAAGTTTCGAGAACGGGAAAACGCCACTGCGACTTCGCTTGGATAACTAGGAATCACTTAATCGGCTCGTCGGTAGTAAAACGCGGTAAAAGTATGTCAACTGTTCCAGGAATGACTCTCTATAAATTTGTAGAATGTAATATCGCTCGTGCGACATCTGCTATTTTAATAGAAAATGATTTTTTATAAATGCATTTTTTAAAAATTGCAAATTATCGATATTTATGTATTATAATGTATTTATAAACCATATATAGTATTTATAAAATGTAGGAGTCTCACATTCTTTTAATTCAATACATTATGCTATTTTTTAAATTCGATTGAACAATATACAGTATATACGGTGCATTTCTTCCGCGATCCACTCTCCGTAGTGGCTCGCTGTCAGCGACGACGCTGAAATGTACTTTCAAGTTTTTCCCTAAGCAATTTTTCTCACTCCCGCGTTATTCTATATATCAATGCCAGTTCCGTAGCATAAAATCTTACGCGATAAATTCCATATTTATGCAATCTACCCTCTATTCAAAAATAACTTTTTCACTTCAGTGGCAGGATACAAATATTTACGTAAACCCGGGTTACGAGCACTGAAAAGAGCCAGTGTCCCGTTGAATTCACTGAATTCACTGATTTAATGTTCATGTCCAGTTGCCTAGCGCGGGATACTAAAACGAAACGGGCGTATAGAATTTTAGGTACGCTTACATACTTGAGAAGAAACGGCTGCTACTCTATCTTATATAAATCTATCTATGTATATATGAAAGAACCGGCCCACAACTGCTGCGCACTTTTTAATCTTTCCTCTGGAAAAATTTCTTTCATGAATCCATTAGTAAAGTACTTCTTCAGTTTTAATATTATGTCGCTTTTTATAACTGCTAAATGTCAAATTAAATTCCTATTAAAATGAACTTTAAGACATTTTTACATACTGCGGAAAAAATTGAATGCTTTTAGCAAAATTGTTTGGTTGACGGTATTTTCAATAGCAACTAAATATTTTGTTTACATAATAAAAAATGTAATTGTTTCTACGAAATATATTTTTTGCTTTGTAAATAACAAAAATATTTGTTTATATCGTGTAGTTTGCATAATACTGCAATTTTGTTTGGTGCTTTTTGACCAAAAACTTTGTTCGGTACATTTCAATCAAATTTTTGTTGTTACAACAAAATATTTGTTCATAAAACAAAACATTTTTCCTAGTATATATGTGTTACTTGTCATCTGATTTGAAAAGTGTCATTTTAATATTCAATGAACTCCATGTATTATTCCATATATCTGATTATTACGAATTCATCATTTAAAGAATTAAATGATGATGCTATAATTAAAAATGTAAAAATTTGTGATATATTTAAAACACATTATTTGATTACATTGACATTTTATGTTTATATACTGAAAGAAAAGAATAGCTGCAACTATTATAATTGAGCAATAGTTTACACTTATTTTTCAATATATTTTTTTAATAGAATTATAATTATTATTAGATATTAACATTACAACAATAATAATTATAAAAACGGAGCATCTAACTATAATTATTTTACCATGCAATTATAATACTAAACACTAAACACTTTTCAGTTAGTGTAAACGTTGTATGTAAATGTTACCCACGAGCTATGAAATAGTTCCGTATGGCTAAACCAAGAATTACGACAGATAAGCAAGTCGATGACAATATGCTCGAAACTTCAATTGAAAGATTATGACAATCAGGGATCTTAGCCACTGTGTAAGTTACGGTTAACATGAGTTCCTTATCAGAACAAGCCATCGGCATAGCTGTCCACAGAAGGGCAAGACTACTACCGTCACGCATCCTTGACTTAATAGCTCTTTCAATAGCGAGCATCGAGTTTGCCGAAGGTGCACGCTGTATTTCACCGTCGCCAATTTCCGGCTCCATTCTATAGAACCGCGTCGGCAGAGGCAAAGTCATACGCCTGGTGAGTCAGATATATGGCAGCCATGACGAGGATCAATAAAAAGACAAGAGAGAATCGAGATAACATTCACTTGATGTAATATAATATCGGAGCAAAAAATGATCTTTTTATTAGACGCAGCTTGCGCAAATAACTTGATAAATGAGATCAACGCGCTAGAATTTTAGTATAAAAAGTCTGCCGTTACGATCGTTTTTCTTTTTGATATTCTCTCTTCTATATGATAAATGTGAAACTGATTTCTTGCGACATCTATAGAATATGTGTTGTCTAATTTATTTTGTATTAAAAGACTTACATGTTTATTAAATCTGATTTAATAGATTTGTATTGTAATGTGTATATACACACACACATACATATATATATATATATATATATTTAAATTTAAACGAAAATTTGTATATAAGGGTTTTCGAAGTTGCTAATTACGATTATAGAATTACAATTGTGAAATTAAGAATAGTGTATGTGATTTGGTTGATTTTTATTTTCAAAATTTAGAGAGTATCAGTTATTATAAAATAGGATATATAATTAAGAAAATAATATTAGCTAGATTTGTAAAAATCAGTCGCAGTCACTGTCGAGATCATTACTATCTTCGAAATCAAAGTCAGAATCATGCATATCAAAAGGATTTTCAGACTCATCAGGGTAAAATAAAAGCTCCAAGGCCTCCAATGACAACTTTTTACTGATTTTGGGAGTCATTTGTCTCATGCTCGAAAGATACCATGAGCCAGTGAAATACATCTTCCATTGTGTTTTTGCGTGAATTTTTCCTGGAAAACGCTTCACGATATTTTTTTATATCCTTATTTCTGGCTTCCTAGGTATCTTCGGATAATTGACCGATTGGCAATACGGCTGATTGAATTATTTGAGCTCCATGTATTAAAACTTTATGAACTGTCGTAACATATAATATCAAGGAAAGTTTTCTATGCGGATTTCCGCAGTATCAAGACAATATTTTTGAAATTTTTCTATGTTCACATTGTATCTACTAGACATGACCTGTAAGATGACATGAAATCGTTTAATGAAATCTTCGTCCAATCCCAGGATTGCAGCAGACACTGATGAGTGTTCAAAAAATCGACTTGCCGTCGTTGGAGCTGCCATAGTCTGGTTTGGACGATCCACAAGAAGACCTAGCTGTGTTTCGAACCCTTTTTAAATTGTTTTTTTCCGATTCTCAAGTGCAGTTTTCTCTTCCGTTGATCGCGCTTGCCATTTCTTATTGTCGAGTTTATATCCAAGATGCAACAAGTACTCAAAAAAAATGGATCCATGCGTGTAACAACGTCAATTTCTTTATGTTTTACTAAATCAAGATTATTAAATTGTTTTGACGTTGCTCCGAACAAATAGCAGCGCATAGATGATTTAGTACATGTTACTGCGTTACATATTTTGCCATCAATCATGGTAAAAATCATTTCGTAATGTATTATTACTGCTTTTCCGTCCCAAACAGTTTTAAAAGAAAGAAGCGACTCAATTTGATCTTCAATATACTTCTTTTCATTTAAAATAGACTCTACATTTTCGTGTAAAAATTGTAGCCTTATAGGTTTACAAAAACGAGTTGACGCGAAGGCGCCGGATTTTTCCATATCACTACTTTCTTTTGTGTATTATCTTTGGAAACCAGTTGCAAGGGAACTAATGAAGTAATAAATGTATTTGCGTCCGTGCTAGTCTCATCAGTAAATTTTTGTTTGTACTCGCTTTGGTTTGAAATACCATTACATCCCCATTTTTAAATCAACCTGGCATTTTTAAGAATTTCCGGAAAATAATATTTTTATGAAATCCTTTTGAACACGTAAAATTCTTTCAGATGTATGATTTAGGAGTGCCTGTACACTGACTTCCGCACAAGTCTCAGTTATTTTAATGTCTCTTGGGTAATGTTGAGCTTTGCCATGGTTTCTAAAATTTCCTCGTGAGCGGGATATGTAAGACCGTTGTGTTTTTTCATTAATTTTCTAGTAATCGGGTACTGACTTTTTGATAACTTTCCTTTAATGACATCGGAAAACGTAACATTGCCAAATACTTCAGTATTAGAGGGAGTTGCGGTTAATTTTAATGCTGTTATATATTTATCAACTTGCGTTAGTGTCGATGTAATTTCTTTGTTAATACTGGCAGCACTAGAAGCCCCAGAAGAACGACGGCTCCTTGCAGTAGTCGACAATAATTTTGCTAAACGTAGACGTAGTCGATGTAAGTCAGAGACTCTTCTTCTCTTGGTTCGATCACTTGCTTTGCCGAAATTCGTAAAAGGTCGATCATATTTCTTTGATTCCGCGGATTTCGCCGTATTCGTTTTAGCTATACTTGAATCCGCATGTTCTTCATTACTCGTACAAACATTCTGTGGAATACATAATCGAATTGTTATGAGGAATTTTGAATCTTATATTGAGTTTTTTTTAAATTGAAATTAAAAATATTTCTGTATTAAATTTCAAAGACAATAATATTAGTAAAATCTTTCGAAATACGTTAATAATCGTGGAAGAAGAAAGCCACTCTTCATTTTCTTTAAGAAAGCGGTATACGGTTCTTCGAAATTGTATCCATCTCGATTCAAGCGGGGACAACAGTTTCTTGATGTTTCTTCGATCATTTACATGGATTTCAAAAGAACATTGCAATCTTGCAGCACAATATTGTTCGATTAATTGGAGCTGCTTGTCTAAGTTCGAATACCATTTTTTTGGTGCAATCTCAAACAGGTCCCGCCCAGTGCAGACCACTTTATTAATACACGATCCTAAAATACAGACATAATGTAGTAATATGAGCAGATTTTTTTTCAGAATAAGTATTATTTAATCGTATAATAAGAAAAATTATTTATACAATTTAATATTTTTGCGGAGCGTTATTGGAATGATTAATTGCAAATATTTATGATTCAACATTTATAATTCAACGATACATTAAAATAAGACACCCTGTATATACATTCAGATTATCTCGGCGATGAAAAGCCGAGGTAATTTACTATATATCTTTCAAGAGCAGGTAGTTCCTGACCCTTCTGCGTGCCTGTGCATCGAGCCTAAAGCTAGCCGCACACGATGCATAATTTCCTGCATAATGGACTTACATGCTGCTGTGCTTGCTCTGATGCGTGCTAAACACCTTGGTGCATTGAGCGAAGTATACTACCATCCTTGATTTCTGTGTTTGATATGGTGCATTATTTCATGCTCGTTTTCTTGCACGCGCCAATCAAAACGTTAAGAATCACTCACGTGATTGATTGGTGTCATGCATATGTGAGATATATAGGTTAAAACCAAAGACATAGAGTGCGTTCCGTTTCTCGCATGATACGCATAATGCATCGTTTATCCTTGTTACTTACCAAATGTTAAACAAGGACAATGGATGCATCATGCGCATCATGCGCGATACGGAACGCACCTATAGAGAATGGACTGCGCGATCCGTGTGTCAAAATGGTCGATAAGGATGAGAGAGAGGGACCGTGGTAGACGGCCATTTCTATCTCTTTCCATTCAATGGTGTAATGGGAGAGAGAATGAGAGGGAGATTGGCCGTTTCCCACGGTTCTCTCTCTCGTTATTGTCGACCAATTCTCTATTGGCCGCAGCACACGCTCTTGCATAACGCATAATGCATAGTGCATAAAGGAATCAACCAATCAAAATTCTTTTCCATGGAATGAGAGGAAAGAAAAAATTTTGATTAGTTGATTCGCTTACGCACTATGCATTATGTGTTATGCAAAAGTGTGTGCTGCGGCCTTATGTCTTTGGTTAATTAAGGGCATTCCACACGAACTTGCATAGTCGCATAAACATATGCATAAAGAAAATCATTCAATCGTAGTTTACGTTTATCTGTATGACAGAAATGTGATTGGATAATTTTCTTTATGCATATGGTTATGCGGCTCTGCAAGTTTGTGTGGAATGGCCCTTAGAGCCACCACAGTTGCCACCTTCGTGTGATGACGTTTATCCAGCGAACCGAGCAAAGTAACATGCATTGATCAGCATGCAAGAGAGTAAGCATGAAAATCACGCATCGTGTGCGGCCAGCTTAACCGAATAACTGCCAGCCGAACGGCTAGCGTCGATGTATTCAAAATAACCTTACAACAACAGGGGCAAAATTTGTTTTCAAAATTTCAACATCTTAACGTATATGCTTCATGTACCTAATAACTTCGCAGCTCTTCGTGGCGTGATAACTTTTTCGATGATTTACGATAAAAATTTTTATAAGCGAAACAATTGTACAGGCAGGTCTTTGATATGATTTTTTAAACACGCCGAATATACGTTCATGAAAACGTAATCGATATACGCAAATGTTCTACATACCTTTATTAACACCCTCCATCAAGCAGAATTGAGAAAAGACTTTCTAATAAAAAGTTACACACACTTGAAAAGTGATCAAAATGTCGGACGCGCTAAGCGAGATTCACCGTCTTCCAAGAACAGTCACTTCGAACTAGAGGCCTAAACACAATGCGAGGCGATAGCGATAGCGATAGCGATAGGAACAGAGGAATCCAGCATACGGGAATACATATGTCAATGCCACAGACTTCCATACATCATCGAATTTTTCATTATCGCCCACTTGGTTATCATCGATGTCTTGTATGTCTAATGTATGCTCATTTGATCGCATTTTTAAAAACGTACCAATAGATGGCCCACCCTGTACTATCGATAATGTACTATCCTTGTGGTAATTATTATTACAATAATTGAAATGATTCATTTTTTAAGTTTCTTACGCCGTGAGAACACTAAACAACTGTACAATTCACACAGACGATGGTACTGACGCATGTGCATTGCGAACATTTGGGACTCTATATCTTTCTCTCTCGCACAGATGTTGACTTCACGTTTGGTATATGGATAGCATAGGCAATTCCGCTTCCAGTAGTATATGTTTTAAGGCGATAAATTTCCGACGAGTTGAAATTCTGTGGCTATCGCCTTATAGCCTACCAATCAGCGTTCAGATTTTTCATTCTGTTTATTTACGCTATAATCTCTTTTCACGATATCTGTCAATATCGGTTCAATTCCAGTTTCTACTCCTGGTTTGATTGTGATAAACTTAAAAAATGGATCATTTCAATTATTGTAATAATAATTATCATACGGATAGTACATTATCGATAGTACATTATGACATACAAGACATCGATGATAACCAAGTGGGCGATAATGAAAAATTCGGTGACAAACTTTTAATCGATCTGCTTAAAAAATACTTAATTGAAGGTAATTTTTGTCTTGTAATGACTTAATGTGACTTAACGTTTTTAGGTTACGTCTACTGAAGCAGAAGAGCATACTACAGTATGTGCGCGATCTGATTGGTTGGCCTTTATTTCTTTCGCCGCATTGTGCAACGGGAGGCGATAGTTTATATATCTCTTATTTCTATATTATTCCTATCGCTATACTATCGCTATTGCCTCGCATTGTGTTTAGGCGTAGCACTAGGTATAGAAAGATCCTCGCTTTCTTTTTGGAATAACATGCAGTAAAGACCTCTCTACAAGATTCTATGGTACTAAACTCATAATTATAAATTTCATTTGTTAGACTTTTGGCCACCTTTTTCGAGATCCAGACCACTATGATAATCGTAACGTTTGAAATTCCTTTGTAGATTTATGTCAGTAATATGTTAGATATTATTTTATAATATAAAAAATTTACCATTATAATCGGTTTAATTATATTTTTCTTTATAAAAACTGATTTCTTATGATATCCATAAAATACATATTGTATAATTAATTTTTTATTAAAAAATTTACATGCCATTAATGAATATAGTTCAAATACAATCCAATTTAATATATTTCTATCGTATGCAGAATTTTTATTTAATTTTATTTTACGAGAGAGAAAGAGAGAGAAAATGCTATATTATTTTTAAAAAACTACTCTCGTATATTGCGAAGAAAGAAGGATTGTAATTATAGACATTATATATATTAAAATAATAGCTAATATAGTTAATTAATAATATCTATTATATATTGATATCATATTAATTAATTAGGTATATCAAACATTATGATCCTCAATATACCGGTAACAATTATAAATATAGAACACATTCGCGTCGATTCACATTCGTACAATCGTGCAATTACTGAACGTTGTAAACACGTCCATCGGCTCGTCGGCCAATATGAATAGAAATTAATTGAGGGCTTTGCGGATAAAAAATATTGGTCGCGCTGCATCGGTGATAGTCAATGGCGACAACGAGGCTGGACATTGCGACGACAATACTTGTTGTCACGCCTCAATAAATAGATACATGCATCGCTTCGATGGCTCGCTCATTTCGCAAATCACGAAACTCGTTTCTGTAAATATAAATTACTAAAGAATCGCCATCAGGATATCTCGTTGCGCAATAACAAACACCAAGATATTTATACATAGAGATATTTAATCACAGAGCTTATATATTCTGATCTATTTTAATTACTAAATAAAATGGAATATAGATATTCGATAAAGTATCTATATTTCATTTTGTTCTTTAAAACTAATCTGTTTTTCATTCAATGGATAAAATTTATCTGTAACTTGTATATTCGAGGTTAAATACTTCCGAGTATTAACACATTTTATTTGCGCGCAAAATCGCAACGTGTGATTTGCATCAAACGCGAACCAATGCAAAATAACGGAGAAAGAAAAATACTCTCTCGAGGGACGCGTTCGTGTCGCGTCGCGAATAGCATCTCGCCGACCTCATTGTCATCCGACCGAGAAAAAGAGAGAGACGAGGAGACGAGAGGTAGCAGTAAAACCCAGCCGGTGCTGAAAGATGTAAAACGCCAACGCGGAAAAGTGTAAACAATAGGCTGAATCGCGAGACACCAGTTTTTCATTGTCCAATGCATTTTTTCTCAACAAAATTCTCGTTGCAGAACAGGATTCTATCTTTGTTCTGGATTTTTCTATCTTCCAATGCATTTCTTGCATACAACACCGGGATTTATTATTACGTGATGAATTTAATTTAACGCATGCTTTGTATATATTGAAATCGGGGAATTTTTTATATTAAACGCATACATAAAGCAGATGATAAAGCGTTTTAATTTATTTTGCTGTGTTTCAGAAATTCTTGTTCTAGCTTCATTAAAAAATGAATTCTGTTTAAATATATTTATTCTTAAATATATCAATTATGATAATATTGAAGAAGTAACGATAATATTAAACGTTTGATAATATTGAAATTTCACAACAAGTAAATTGATGAACAGATTGACCGTATTTAATGCTATTAATACCACTGCAATCAGTTACTATTATTGACATGTTATTGACAGTATGAGGTAATTAAGTCAAATTGTTTGTACGAAAGTGAAAGGTCGTTGGAACTGTGCGATATGCACCGTCAATATAGGTACAACTCGCATAATTGTTCTCCAAATAAAATATTGTATACTGGAAAAAGAGTCTGATTCCATTAATTGATTACTTCCTATATATGAATTGATTGTAGGATCTAATTCATAGGAAATGAAAATCCTGTACTGAGAAAGATTTCTATTTAAAAATGAACGAACCAGAAAATTCTCATTATATTAAACAAAACTTTGTTTATTTCAATTAGAATTTAATAGATTCAACCAGAAAATTCTAATTTGTCCATTTTTAACCAGAATTTTAATTAATACTAGATTCTTTTTTCCAATAGCACATGTATACATTTGTATGTATATGTGTACATGCACTTGCACCAGATATACATGTGTATATGCGCTAGATATGTATGGAGAGTATCTGACATTACGGAGTAATGTCAGATAGCCTTTTGATTACTGTTGCAGAATCTAATTTGCAGGTAATGGAAACCCTACATTGAGAAAAAATTTACTAAATTAAATAAATATTTCTTTGAGTATATATATAGTTCTAGCGGAATATTTTACTAAATGTAAACACATATTTAAATTGATACGAGAATCATTAATTTGATTCAGCCATCATTTTTTTTTATTTATTTAAATATTTATTTACTGTAAGTATTCCGCTGGGAGGACCGTTCAAAGAGATATTTATTAAAATTTAATAAATTTTTTTCTCAGTGTATATTTTATTTTTGATAAATAATTATATACGCAAGCATTAAAATAAACCAAGCCGCGATGGAATTGGGAGAACAATTGAACCTCATGAACGACTAGCTAAGCTAAAGCATCGCTGTAATACTTCGTAATGTCATTTGAAGGTAATTTATGTCGATTCACAGCCGTGCGCTGCGCAATGTCAATCCGCCTTCTATAATAAGGCACGATAATAGCGCGCACCGGCAAACACGCAGACATATCCGATACGTTATAGGTAATCAATCATTCGCTAATGAAGATACGATATGCGCACTGACATACACACCTATCGGTTACGCATACGCAGGCTGTGATGCAACCATCGGTGCGGGAGAGGGAGATTCGCTGCAAACACAACTACGTGGTCGCAAACGTGATGTTAGTTTATACCGGATCAAACGTCTCCATGTGATCCGGTCGAATGCTCCTCGCTTTGAAATAGCAGCAATAAACGAGCGTTTGGTCTGTTGATCACGAAATATTCACTCAAAGATCGTTGATGAATCACGGTAAACGAGATTAACAGATAAATTCGCGATTTTGATTCATTAGCGTAACATCAGGAAATATCTACCGTTTTGATTCTGTTAAAATGAAATTAAACTTGGATTTGTGCGTGAAACACGAAAATTTTCGACACGATGCTCGAGCAAAAATAGTTCACGAACCCTTGCGATTGTCAGTATAATTTGACCCTTGACTGATATCTAGCGATGACTCGTACCGTTATGATATTGACTCAACGAATCAATTACTAAAAGGAACTCTCATTAATGATATGCTAGGCGAACAAGTGTGTCAAGTGACTTACAATGAATTATGTCAATCCCAGATACTCGCGCGAAGAGTGCTCGTGAAAAAGCGATCGAGAAGATCGAGAGCCTGCCACGGGAAAGATATCGGAAAATCTGCGAGAATAATCGACTTCATTTGGGTGGTCAGTATTAACGGACTCGCTAAATGATATTAGGATGTTAGATTCTGCAATACAGTAATACTGTAACTCAATATTTACTCGGAGATATTTCGTTGGCAATAATTTGCCGGACTAAAGTTTGTAATGCAAATAGGCTCTCGTTTCGAGGGAACGGGAATTGCTTCGTAAGTATGTGCATATTGCAGATCGCGAACTCTCCTCTAAGCGATTTGGTCAGTCAGACAGAGTACATGACATATCAAATGTACAAACTGAAGCTTTCCTACTTCCGTGGAAGAAGCCATTTCGCGATTCGAGATTGTCGCAAATGAAAATGTCACGAAGACATTTCTCTATTTGAGATTAGAAACTATAGTATATGACATTTAATGCAACATTATCGTAATCTGATGAAACGACCTGCCGCGCCAAAACTTGAATTTACATTTGCACCGGTAATGCATTCTCGGGCGGTAAACACGTATAACTTGTTCCGTAATAATATTCGGGATGCATATTGAATTTGCAACGAGCGAAGTAACTCTATGAAGCCGAGCTTTTTCCCGTAGCGCTTATTTATTCCGAAAGTTAAGGCATTAGGTAGTAGTTTTCTGTTAAGTTAGACAGCGGTCCTCTGTTAAGCATTCGCTTCGGCTAACACAATTAGCATTCTTAGGTTTTCGGGGAAAGGGAAGGACATTAGGGATACGGTTAAACCACGGATCGAATAGTAATTGCCGGGAACAGGAGCATATGCTTCGAATGACTCCTCGACGTGCATTCTCGACGTGTCCGGAAACATCGATGCAATCTCAGTTCCAGCTCTTCGAGGTGACGAAAATAACGCGCGACAATGCAAATTATACTGAAAGCGAGTAATGTCATAAATGAATAGCCCATTTGCAAAAAGTAGTTATCTCTTGAAATGCTTTTAGCGAGAGTGA